CCCGCTCCATCAGGTCCATGTCCTGCAGCTCCGTCCCAGGAGCCACAACAGCAGGCAGCGAACTGCCCGGCGTCCCCCAGCCTCCACGACCACCTGGGCACCATCACCCTGCTCCCACCAACCACCTCTCTGGCTGCCATCGCTAACTTTGGTCTCTACCACCACTAACTAGTCCTCCTGCTCTGCCTTACAGGCCACGGGATGAAGTGATGCTGCAGCAGCACAGTCCCCAGGGCAAACACGAGCCCCTGAGAGCCACCCGAGCCAGGATGGCTGAGGAGGAGGAGGTCAGGGCCCTCGGGGACTGATCGTGGGCTGCTCCTTGTCTGGGAGCGACAGGATGGACCTGGGTGAGCAGGAGCCGTGCAGAAGACAAACCTGCATCTCCGCCTTGGAGCTGATGTAATGAAGGATCTTCATTCTTGGTCCTAAGGGAATTCCCATTTCTTTGAGGTTCTTCTCCGTGCACAAGAACTGGAAAATAAGCAGCCCAGGTATGAGTGTGGGAGCAGAGAGGGGTGTGCAGTGAAGGGATTTCTGTTCTCCATAGTTCTGTTCCTGCTGCACTCCTCAGAGACATTCCCTGTGCCGGTGACTCAGGACTGGGAAGACGTGCAGAGGGTGGGAGGACTGGGAAGAAGCACAAAGAAGAGACAAGCAAGAGGCAGCAAAGCAGGAGAGCTCCTCACCAGCGCTTGCCTGTCCATTTTCTCCTTCTCGAAAACATCACAATATTCGGACAACTCCAGCTTCTTCAGAATTTCTTTTACGGCCTCGATGCCCCTGTTGCTTGAGGTTGTCCTGGACCCCTGTGAAAAGAGCCGTCAGGGATGATGCTTTTTGCTCGCTGATTTTCTCCCGTGCGTTTTGGGGTCTCTCCCCCCTCCCCAGGCAGCCGCAGAGGCGGGAGGTCGGTGTGAGGCTGCCCTGGCACGGCTACGGGGGCACCCGGGGCCTCCAGCTGCCACCAGATGCCACGTACCTCCTGGCTGTGCTCGTCCTCCTCGGGAGCAGCCTTCTGGTTTGTCAGGAGATCGAACAAAATCAGCGACCCTAGAAACCAGTCGCAGGCAGAGAGAGCATCAGCAGCTCATGGGGGAAAAGCCCAAAGCCACCTCCTTTCTGGGAACCCTCCCCGGTGACGTTGAGGGGACCCGCGGGGGAGACCCCCACCCCAAGATTACCCAAGCTGTGCCCCGCAATGGAGACCCCTCCTTTGAAGAGGGGGTTCCTCTGGAGGAAGAGCTGGTAGAGGCGGTTCATTTCGGAGGCCACGGTGTCCACGATGGTCTGGCAATAGGTGGAGCTGTTGTAGAAGAAAACGTCCAGGATGGTGTCGTTGATGAAGTGACGCAGGCGATTGATGCTGGGCAGAGTGATTCGCTCCAGGTCGCTGTTGGGGGCACAAAGAGCAGAGAGGGGG